TTGGGATCATTATCCTATTGGAAGGTCCACTTCTCAGCTTCAACTTCTTTGACAGATGGTCAAACATTCTCCTTAAGCACTCTCTGGTACAAAAGGGAATTCATAGTCGATTCTGTGATTGCAGGCTGGCCAGGCTCTGAGGCAGCACAGCAGCAATTGCATTTGTGCTCATTTCAACAACATAAAGGTTGACATCAAATGTTCATTTTAAGTGTCTCTTGTTAAATTATCACTTTTATCTGTCAACAATGTTGAATGAAGATAGGGTATCTGTATGTCTGTGCTTGCCGAGTTACATAAAAATTGTGCTAATTCATTCATCATCACTGTTCTTCTGGTTATTAAAGTGGGGGCATGATATTTACTTCTTCACATGACTGTACATAGCTAAATAAAATAATGTGATACAGGCAATCATAAGAAGCTTAACAGGAAACCTCTACGTTTCAGTGCTGTTAAATGCATTCAAATCTAGCTTTTCTAGCCAGATGTAAACGTTGAGGCTTATTCAGGTTTAAACTAAATAACTGAAACTGTTCATGTTTTTACAGCTCAATTTATACAATATGTTTCTGATCCAGGTCTACACAAGAACAAGTCTAAAGTGGGTGGTGTCCGAGTTAAGACCAAGTCCAAAGGAGAGAGTGAGACTAGGTTAAGTCTAAAACCCAAAATTGAGTCCTCCTCAAGATCAGGCCTTAATTAGTCTTCATCACCTTCCAGTATACATTACTGGAAAAAATGGAGGATTTTCTTGCCGCAGAAATAACTCTAGTAAATTGAAATCATAATAAAATACCCCCTCCTCTTGCAAACTGTTATGGGACAGCAGGGAGATGGCCCCAAGTGCAAAAGAGAAAAACCCGTGAGGAAGGGGGTTAAATAAATTTATTAAGGCAATGGAGTGGGAAATTGGCACAGGAGTTACAGCTGCGTCACCGGGAAGCGCGGGCGACAATGGGGAATACACCCTAAGGAGCGGGAAATAAAAGGCGGGGAAAAGGGCAAACAAAGGAAACGCTGAAGACAGCGTGCTCAAACAAAGGCTGAACTAGAAACGTGAAATAAGAGGTAATCAGAAAACAATTTACTTCCTCTGCAATTATGAGAGGAAGACAGACTTTGTGTTTCACTTGTTTGCTCTTAATCGAGAAAACACTTTTTGTATGGCTTGGAGAAGTTTGAAGCTCAAGCCTTCTTATGGTTTTTAAGTAATTTTGGGGCAATTACTCTCTCTTTCCATTTTGTTTACATACCCACCTGGGCTACGTACCATACCGGTCACCCCTCAACAAAGGTTTGACAAAGGGCTGCTGTTTGCCACAGTCTTAAGTAGAGGAGTCCGCAGGTGTGTGTGTTTGGGCCTAATCAGCCCAAGGACTTCTGGGAATTGGAGTTCCCTGAAGTTATGGCACCTTGGCCCGTCGCCCTCTGCTGATGATTCCAACCGATACTTATCCATCCATCCATCATCTAAACCGCTTATCCTTCTGGGTGGGGTGCTGGAGCCTATCCCAGCTGTCATTGGGCGGAAGGCACCGATACTTATATCATGAAATATTATTGAAAATTAAAAATTACAATATGTACAATATCTGTCTTGATAGTCAATTAATTTACTTTAAAGTAATCCTTTTTTTGTCGGTTTTGGCAACAAAATTATTTTTGGGGGGATTTTAATCCCATTCAGTGTTTAATGTCTTAAATAAGTGATTGACTTTTTGTTTCATATTTAATAACTTTTCCTAATTTAATGGGGACAACTGGGTAAACATGACATTAATGTTTTGACCCCCAGGCTGTATAAAACGAAATGTCAACATTTTATACACATTTGTTTTGATTGTTTTGGATGATATTGAGGTCACTATAACATGCAATTGTATATATTCAAAAACCTCCCTCTGCCTTTGGGCCCTAAGTTGACATAATGATACCTATAGTAGTGAACCACTGAGGGTTTGCACAACATGAGGCAGGGGAAAACATATCTCCCACAAGCACTTCAATTTACCTGGGGGTTTAAATTAATGGGGGCAAATTGAACCCAAGGATAAAAGATGTTAGTAAATTTGAGGATAAGAGGGTTAAGAGAGTACACTCTAATACAGTACAATACAGTTTATACTGAAAACAGTAAAACACTTTACTGCCAGGTCCAACGCCATCCAATCAGATTTAGGTAACATGCTTAATTTAGGTAACATGCTCGGACTACTGTAAACCAGCCTTCTTACCTAACGTCACAATTAAAACTGATTAGCAAACAATTTAAACTACAAACACTGCTAAGTAGCTAGCTGGTGCAAATGTGTGAATTTTAGAATATTTAGCAAAGCAGTAGTCTAAACACCATAGTTATGCAAGGCTGTTAAACTTGGTAAAAACCTGTTTATACAGACACACACATCATCTAAACTGCTTATCCTTCTGGATCGCAGGGTTGTGCTGGAGACTATCCCAGCTGGGCAGAAAGCAGGATAGACCCTGGACAGGCTGCCAATCCATTGCGGGGCAGACAGACAGACAACCTATTTATTGTTAAGGTCAATATGTTTAGCCCCCTTTAAACTAAATACTTAGTACCAAAATTGTTTATAGTATAATTGCTTCCAAAAGAACAAAGACAAAATCAAAAACAAGAAACAAGAATAAACAAAAATGACAGGGCCAAAATTAGCCCTCTGACAATTTACAATAATTCCTCCATGGCAAATTGTTCCAGCTCATGCAAATGAAATAGTCTTGGAGCATGGACCGTAAACTTGAGCTCCCACCATAGATTCTCAATAGGATTGAGTTCTGAGCTTTGTGCAGGCCACTTCTGGACACTGATTTTGGTGTCCTATTCCTTAAACGTTTGGACATGTGCTTTAAGTCATTGTCTTACTGGAGAACCTACTGTGACCTAAAGCCAGACTGTCAGCAGATTTCTTCACATTATCCTT